TAAGTCGGCTATGGCCAAACTCGCGAGGAAAAGATTTCCGATCCGTCGAAGACCTCGATCCGTGTATATGGCGAGTACGACCAAAATGTTTCCAGCAATTGACATGAATATCAAAATGGACGGCACGACGCCTGAAAAGGTAATTAGTAAAAAAAATTTTCCAGTTTTTCTTTCCTTTTTTTTTTTTAAATATTAAATAACAATTAAGGTAACTTGAATTTTTTTTAAATCCCCGAGATTCGTGACAATGAATACAACAACAGAAAATGACATTTTTTTTGTCGTGTCACTAGAATGCAAAAAAAAAACGTTTTCAAATTATTTAAATCCGAGCTTATTTGTTTAAAAAAAATTTTTTTAGCGCGTATAAAACAGCTTTTCTCTCTCTCTCTCTCTCTCTCTCTTTCTATCTCTATCTCTCTCTCTTTTTTTAATATTCCTATTGAATTTGATTCGCTCTATTGTTTTCCTGTAAAAAGGATTAACCTTCCTTTTTCGACCTTTTTATAATTTTTTTTTATAAAAACTTTTGTTACAATTGTGTGCTTGTGTTTTTCTACGGATATGAATTAATATATGGAGGGGTGGGAATGGGGGTGAGGGTGGGGGGGAGCGTATTGAAAGTTAAGCAGATAATTTATCGGATCGAAAGCGGAAAATTCTTTTTTGTTTTTATCTGGAGAAAACAATGTGGATTTAATGTAACTCACCCACAATAAATATTCTTAACGGTGTCAATTCTCCAGGTTCGAATGGAGGTTTTCCAGGTGTCACAATCGATGACGACGACGACGACGACGTCGACGACGACGTTGATGACGTCGACGAAGAAGATTGTGTCGTTGAATTTATATCGAAATTATACATTGTTTCATTAAAACCCGCCATTTTTCAGGCGTTCATATCTTCACCCTTTTTCGTTATTCTTTTTATCCTTTTGTTGCTGTTGTTGTTGCTGTAGTTCTTGTTCTTCTTGTTGCTGCTGCTGCTGTAAATTTTCATTTTCTTTTCTTCCATCTGTAAATTTATTTATTTTTTTAAAAAATATATATGTATGTATATTTTTTTTTTTTTCGCATTACGTTAACGTATAAATTTTAAGGGGGACGTTAAAAAAATTAATAATAATAATAATAATAATAATAATAATTTTTGTAAACGAATCTACTAGAAAAGTTTTCGTTTGGGGAAATCGATTCAAATTAATTAAATAATTAATTAATTAATATTTAAAATGAAAAAAAAAAAAAAAAAAAATTTTTTTCGGTTTAAAATTAAATTGACCGTAAAGAAGAAAACGGTTCGTTAATCTTTGATTAAGGGTTTTCTAAAATTTATCTTTGAGATGTTAATTTTACTATTTTGAGGTTTTTCTCTCTCTCTCTCTCTCTCACTCTGTCTATTTTCTCAAATGTTTGTCTGTTATATCCTTTGTCAAAATATTTGCAAAAAAAAAAAAAAGAAATAAAATGAAATGTGGTCGGTGGTCGACCTGTTGTCGGAAAAACTTTAGTGAAACTGTTGGAAAAGAAGGGAAAAAAAAAAAAAGGAAAAGAGATAGATAGATGAAAGAAATATTTGAAAAATTACACATTTTTTTTTATTGTTTTCTTTCTCCTTTTAATGAGTAATAATTAAAAAAGGAAAAAAAAAGCAGAAGACAATTTTTTAAAACATATATCCCGTGCGAATCGTAAATAATTGTATGAGGGAAACGAAAACTGAAAAATTTATTGAAAAATTTTAAATCGTGAAAAATTATTTAAATTTAAATAAAAACACGTGATTTAAAGTGCTTCCAGGTGGTTCCAGGTGTTTCCGGGTGTTTCCAGGTGTTAAAATAAAATAAAATTAAAAGGAAAAAAAAAATTTTCGGAAGAAAAATGAAAAATTTTAATTTAAACGTGATACATGCATAAAATTTATTATTTTTTTTCTCTCACTCTCTCTCTCTCTCTATCTATCTTTCTCTTTCTCTCTTTTTCATTTCCTGTCTCATTTTCTTTCGTTTTTCCCTTCTTCTTTTTTTTTTTGTCAGGGGAAAGCGGCAGGTTAGGAAAGAGAGATAAGGGGGAGAGGGAGAGGGGTAGGAATCGTTAATTACAAAAAATTTATTAAAGAAAAAGAAAAAAATGGGAGAAGGGGAGGGCGGGAGAGAAAAAAGAAAAATTTTTATGGAAAAACAAAGACGTTTCGCTGTAAAAGCGTTCGGTCAAAGGAAAACCTCAAAGTTGAATCGACATGACCTTTTCTCTCTCTTTCTATTTTAAATATTTAAAAAAGTTTTGAGAGCTTCGCTCCCGGAAAAATTTTCTCACCGCCCCCTCCTCCTCCCCAATTAAATTTTAAAAAATATTTTTCCTTCCTCCCCTCCCCCTCTATCTCTCTCTCTCTCTATTTTTTCCCGAAAGTAAACCTTCGGTCCTACTTTCCGTGCAATATTTGTCACATCACAACCATTTTTTTTTTTTATTTTCATCTGACAATTTTCACTGATAACCGTTTAGTATGATAACAGAAAAAAAATCACGTGATTTCGGTTTTCAAGGTCAAATAAAAAAAAAAAAAAAAAGAATGAGGGATACTTGCATCAACTATTTTTATATTAATTTTTTTTTTGGAAAAATCCAAATCTTTCATTGTTTTTCTCTCTTCCCCCCCCTCTCTCTCTCTCTTTCTCCGTAAAATTATCTTCCAGGTATATGTGAATGTGCGCGTGCGCGTGTACATTATTTCATTTCATAAAAATTTGTTTCTTTCTAATCCTCCATTTTAATTCGATTAAAAAAAAAAAAAACGAACGAATTTGAAAATTGAAGTTTAACGAAAAACGTGTTTGATTACTTTTTTTTTTTTAACCTTTTCTCCCCCCCTCTCCCTCTCCCCCCTCTCTCTTTCTCTCTCATCCATTAATAAACGTGAAAATAAAAATTTTTTTTATTTTCTTCTTTTTTCTCACATTTTGTTTCTCTTCCCATTTTTTTTTTTTTTTTTTTACCTTTTCGTTACGGAAATTTCGAAATGTCAAACAGGAATTGAGTCTTAAATAAGATAAAATTATTAGAGAGTGAAAGAGAAAGAGAGAGAGAGAGAGAGAGGAAGGGAGAGGGAGGGAGGGACGGAAAGAGAGGGAGAAAGGATATGGAAAAATGAATAAAATGAAAAAAAAAAAAAAAAACAAAGATAGAGAGAGAGCGAGAGAGAAAAAAAAAGGATTTAAACGGTAAAGTTGATTGTGTAGGGGTGAAAGAGAGAGAGAGAGAGAGGGAAAGTGAAAAAGAG